ACATCACTGGGCATATATTTTTTTAAATTTTTATTCACTGCTTTTTGCTTTCTTTCCTTCACTTCCACCAGCACTTTCACTGGATAAAGGTCACTTAGTAAAATATCTACCAAAGAGATTTGGCTTTGCCTACTTTTTAAAATGTTTCTAAAATTACTTAGGCAAATGTCATTAGTCTGAGCAGCAATACAGCTAGTGTGAACCTTTTTGGGATGTTTCTTTTCAATAAAATCAGTCACTTTCTGATAATACCTCAAGATGTCCTTTATCGAGTAAGATCCTTCCATGATGAAACAAACACATGGACTGAGACCAATGAACAGAAGTGAATAAAAGATGGCACTGCGAACTAATGTAACGTCGTATGGTGAGTTTTTGTTCGTATCGTGGAGCAAAAATATGTTCAAATTTCATGTCGTATCCTGAAAATTTTGTATGCTGGGCGTTCGTATCCTGAGGTACCACTGCATTACAGTAATATATTCTCAATTAAATGTTTTTAATATTTTCTCTTCCTATTAGTTTTCATGGTTCTTAAAGCTCAGAAAGGAAAAATTATTTAAAAAATTCTGGCTACATTCCAAAATATTAAAGCATTAAATCAGTTTAACTTTTAAAAAATTTTTGTTCTTCAAGGGAGCTGAAGCTGTGATGCTATCTTAAAAATATTTATTCAATTCATATTGCTTTTGGCCTCCTTTTATTTTAAAGAGGAATTTAAAAATTTTATCTTATGATAAGAAGTCACAAAGAGAATATTTAAATTTGTGACATTTCAACTTAGACAATAGTCATAAAAACTACATATTTCATAAAATTTCATATTACAATGATTACTATTGGAAATTTATCATCTAGTTAACTATGAAATGTTGATGCTACAAATAAATTCAATTCTGTTTTTACACAGTAGATACTTTCCTGAAAAATCGCTGTAAAAAAAAAAAAAAAAACACTGTCTGTATGGAAAGGTGAGAGAGTGGTTCCAGACCTCTCTCACCTTTACAATAATACAATAATCTAATTAAGATAATGTGTTTAACTCTAAGCTCTGAAAATTTTTTCTATCTATGTACCTGAAGACTAAATTTTTTTTACACCTCAGGTTACAAGGGAAATTTATATAGCAAAACCAGTGAAACAACTTTTCCATCAGCTGATTTAATTTTGAATGGATAAGGACAATTTTGTGTTTAAAGAATTCAAAATATTTCAATTTTAGTTAATAAATCAAAGTGGATACTATAACTTACCAGTAAACTTTAATAAATTTATATTATTTGTACAAATACAGTAGAACCTCCATTATCCGGACCTCTATTATCCGGATTTTCGATTATCCAGATTGTTCAAAATAAACAAAAATTTTACGAATTTGCTGATTGCACTTGGCGAATTACGACACTGTTTATGTACGTGACGGAATGCATAACTTTTTTTGTTTCAACAACGTCTCACCCAGCACAGTGGTCGTAAACTCTTAAATATATTTTACGTAGTAATAAAAATATAACTTGACATACGTATTTATAAATAATTTATTTTACAAATTACATCATTTCTATGACCAAGGGCGGCGTAAGGCATGGGCAACATGGGCCACCGTCTATGCCTCGCGGTCCGAAGAGCCTCGTGTTTTGAAGGTTTATGCATTACTTACAAGCCGCGAACGCGACGAAAAAATTTTACTCGTCATAAAACAATAAATAGTTTGTCAAATTTTTATTCATAAAAATGCAGTTTCAACTGCTTTTTATTTTATAAAATCTGTCTTCTTGTGCCACCAGGGGGCCTTTTAAATAATAGGTAGTCTGTTAGCGTTGGTCAGTAGTAGTCCAAATTCAATACGAATGTTTGTTTCTTAAAAATTTGATCACGATTTAAATACAGTATTTGATATGTCATAGAAAAGAAAACGTGTTGTATTATCATTAAAAGACAAATTAAAGTATTTGTTTCGATTATCCGGATTTTTCCTTATCTGGACTACCTTCATCCCCAATTAGTCCGGATAATCGAGGTTCTACGGTATTATTTTTATTTTTTATTCATCTTTTTCAATTAAACACCAAAATAACTCTAGCTTTTAACACCAAATGGCATAAAAAAACTATTCAGTATTGAAAGAAATCAGAAGAAATGCAATCATACAAACAAATTGCCAAAACTTGAAGAGAGTTTTCTGGCTGTTTAATTAGCAGGTGAGTCAGAATTAATGACTGAGTGATCAAACTATCTGGCAAGCAGCTAAGTAAGTAAACCAATGACATAGTCCAGTGATGGCAAACCTGAGATCCTTGAATGATTTCAAGGTACCTACATTGAATGTTTAGAAAGTATTAAGTTTTTATAAATTATAAAAAAAATTTGACAGATTTTGAAACTTTGCATATGTAGTGTTGAAAAGCTGTCATAAAAAGTGTGTTAAAGATAGTTGTGAACCTCAGATAAAAAAATTATCAAACAAACAACAAACTTTCCATTAAACAGAATATTTGTTTCCTTTATAATCACATTATTATTTTCTTTTCACTTATGTAGTGTTTATTTTTCTGATATATAGTAAACCCCCTGCTTACTTGGACTAACAGGGAGTAAAGTTTGGGTTAGCTGGATGTTTTCTCCAACAATGTGGAAAAGAAGGTGAATATATAGTACAATAATTTATTATGATCAGCTTTATACAAGTTTTACTGATTTTTACTGAGCTTTCATGTTATATTGCTGATTATTATTATTCAGCAGGAGATCTATTCTTACAGGAAACAAGCTCAAAAACTTTCATGACCAAACAGTAATCAACAATGCACAGTCTTTGACTACATTGTTTCATACCGTAGTCATTATTAACATATTGATTACAATAATATAATGTACTGTACAGTATCACAAAGATTTCCAGATGTTGGAAACATTTATTAATTTTTGTTATAACTAGAACAAAATTATTCCTATTGTCAAGGAATTTTAAATTACTGTATCATTTTTCAAAAAATTTGTCTGAGTTACATGAAGTCTTAGTTGGTTGGATCAGAGTTAGTGGAAAGTTACTGTAGATTAAAAAGTTAAAGTAAAATTCATAAGCATTTTTTGTTATTTGTTTAATTACTCAAATTCGGTATTTGACCTGAAATTTGTAGCTAGTAATGTTAAATTCAATTTTCACCTATAGTACCTTAAAAAGCATTTGCCTTTACTGACATAGTTCATTTCTTATGAAATTAATAAGCCATTGGCTTGCGTACTTAGCTGGTTGCCACCTAAATGCACCATTGTCATATGCTCAAATAAACAACAAAAACAGCCAACTCTTAAAATTTTCTTGAGTATTTTGCTATATATATATTCATAAGTAAATTTGAAATGCTTTAAATGCAAATTTTTTTTTAAAATGGCAGTTTTCTAGGAAAGAAAGTATGAATATTTTTTCTTAAAATTAAAAACAAATAGAAATTTTTAATTCCCCTTTAGTTCTTCACCCAAGTTAACTTGGGCATGTTACATAATGTTACAGAAAACTCAGTCCTTTTGGCACCAAAAAAAAATTTTGTTTTTTTTTTGAATTTTTGGAATGTTTTTTGTCTCCAAATTTTTTCAAAATTTTTTTCCCACGCGAAAAAATTTTATCGCGATTTTAATTTAGCTTTAATGACGCATGATTAACGATTAATTGTTTTTTAATGGGATTTTGATATCAAATTTCATTCATGGTTCTAAAGTTGCAGTGCACAGATTTTACTTCCGTAAAGTTATTTAAAGCTACTTTCTGATATCAAAAACAACCTCCAATAGTTTTTTAATTTTTTTAATTAATAGATTTTATTATATACAAGTTTAATTAAGTCGGGGGGGTCGGAAATCGCAATAAAAATTTTAATTTTTTAAAAATATTTTAAAATATACGGCCAGAAAGTAGTCACCCTACTATAAACCCATCTCCTCCCGAGACTTCTATGACAATGTCCTGGGAAATCCAACTCCAGCTGTGTAAACAATGACTCATGGTGTCATATTTGGCAGAAAGGCAAGACAAAGGAAAATAAAGTTTGAAGCTTTTTCTTCAAAATTAACGCATTTCATTTTTTTTTCAGTTTTAAGTATTTTTTATGTTTATTTACATTAATATCAAAAATTGCTGGAAACTTAAGGTGTTAAAAAAGGCAAATTTATTGAACATGTTAGATTAAAACTCATGTAAAAAAAGAATTTTTTTCCAAATTGATAAATGTAAGTTGGTAAAAAAAAAAAATTCTATATAAAAACAGATTTGGGTGTACAATGGAGTGACTGAAGTTATTTATTTTTTATCATCATAAATTTAATAAGATTTCTTTTTAATTTCTAAAATTTATCTGAAACTATATTTGAGAAATATTACAAACCTTTGTTTTCTTAACGCTGCTGGATCAAATAGAAAATTATCTACACTATCTTTACTTGTTTTTGCTTCATCCCTCTGTATCTTCCTTTCTTCTTTTCTGATTAATTTTTTAATCATTTTTTCTTCTTCTGACTATAAATAAAAATTCATATAATAAATTTTTATTAATTATAAACTTTAACATCTTAAATTTAATTTTTATAATTGTCATTCTAGCTTCATTTTATTTTTTAAACAATTTTATAATATGCATTTATTATTATTGAAGCATTATTCTTTTAAGTTTATTCAATGTAAACGATAAGTATATCATTTAAAATTAATTTTTCACTCAAAGATACTGTCCAAGTAACAAATTCCAATTCAAAAAATTTTTAAGTTTAGGACAAAACATCTTAAAATATGATAAAATGTATTAAAAATTGTAATTGAAGGTAAATACAAAAAAATATAATTTGAAGTTTCCTTACATGTCTTTTCAAGCTTAAGAAACACAATTAAAATATTAATGAATTTGATAATTTTTTAGTGTCTTTCTTGTTTATGAATGTGTAAAAATTGTCTAAAGTCTCTCTTGTAATTTTTACATATTCATAGAGGCTACAAGAAAAGATTAACTCAACTAATGTAATTGTATCTCTACACTTGAAATGGATATTAAAAACTTCAAAATATTTTAATTTGTATTTNTCCCTCTGTATCTTCCTTTCTTCTTTTCTGATTAATTTTTTAATCATTTTTTCTTCTTCTGACTATAAATAAAAATTCATATAATAAATTTTTATTAATTATAAACTTTAACATCTTAAATTTAATTTTTATAATTGTCATTCTAGCTTCATTTTATTTTTTAAACAATTTTATAATATGCATTTATTATTATTGAAGCATTATTCTTTTAAGTTTATTCAATGTAAACGATAAGTATATCATTTAAAATTAATTTTTCACTCAAAGATACTGTCCAAGTAACAAATTCCAATTCAAAAAATTTTTAAGTTTAGGACAAAACATCTTAAAATATGATAAAATGTATTAAAAATTGTAATTGAAGGTAAATACAAAAAAATATAATTTGAAGTTTCCTTACATGTCTTTTCAAGCTTAAGAAACACAATTAAAATATTAATGAATTTGATAATTTTTTAGAGTCTTTCTTGTTTATGAATGTGTAAAAATTGTCTAAAGTCTCTCTTGTAATTTTTACATATTCATAGAGGCTACAAGAAAAGATTAACTCAACTAATGTAATTGTATCTCTACACTTGAAATGGATATTAAAAACTTCAAAATATTTTAATTTGTATTTGTCTTCAATTGCATTTTTTTAATATAATATGTAATATTTTAAATAATTATCAGATAGATAGATAACACATAAAAATTTCAATTATAATTTTAACTGTTAAAAAATAAAAGAATTTATGCAATTTAGGTATGTGAAATACTATTTTATTTTCTAAATTATTAAAATTTGTAATTAATTTTAAAATTTTGTAACAGAGAGATTTAAAAATAAAATTGTTAAACAGTTAAAATATTTTAAACTTATCTTTTTTTTTCTTTTAATAGAAGATTTTTGTACTATACAGATGTTAACAGTTACAAATGTAATACAATTTAATCAAATAAACATACATTACATCTGCATAATGAACGAAATATTTATTTCTATAAATATGTTTAAAAGTCAGATATACTAATATAGATCTAAAAACTACATTTTTAAACACTATATATACATATATATAATATATCTTATGTAACTTACTTGAACTGTAACTTGACAGCCATAATTTGGCCTATGATCAATTGTTTGATAAGAAAGAGGTACTTCAATAGAATCAAATGCTCTACTATTAGTAATTTCTTTTCTTTTTTGCAAAATAACTTCTATTAAACTGATGTTTTCATAACCTAAGTAATCAAACAGCTGAAAGAGATTAAACAAAAACATATTAGTAAATACTTCATAATTTTTAATTTAAAAACAAACTACATTTGTAATTTTATAATAATAAAAAGACTAAATTAATAGTTTAAATTTGAAATTTTATTTCTTATCTATTAGAAATAGTTTAATAACAGTATAATTTCTAATGGATTTTGCTAAATTCCTCCCCATTTAACATGCAGAGGTTAAAATTATGCTTTTGATTGGCTATCAAATTTCAACTGTAAAATTTTCAAATTTGAATTTAAAAACTAACCATTCATTCCAAATTTTTAAATTCTATGCTACAATTGGTTAGAAGAAAAATCAATTCACTGTCATTGATTTAAAAACAGTATAAATATACAGACACCATCACAGAGAAATTACTTCTCTGCACATCTGATAAAATTTTGAGTTCTGTGAAGGTTATAATGTAGTACAACAAAAACTATTTGGCTAAACTTTTTAATATTTGCTAAAACTTTTCAGAAACAATTTAAGAATTTGTAGCTTAATCCCTAATTATCTAAGCCAGTGTTTCTCAACCTGTAACGAATCATCGCTCCTTCAATAAAACTGTTACATAGTACTGCCCCCTTCACTTCAAAATTCTGATACTGAGGGCCAAGGCTAACACCAAATTCGTACTGCATTGAATAGACTAGTGACTAGTATAATGTTATTTGTTTAATTATTGTACGATATAATGAATAAAATATCTAATTATTCTTACTGTAATGTTTTACTATATCGCCCAGAAAAATCGTTTTTTGCCCCCAAAATATAAATTGTTACTAATGCCCCCTCAACATGGAAAAACGCCCACATGGGGGCGATATCGCCCCCATTGAGAAACACTGATCTAAGCTAAAACATCTCAAATTAAACTTAAAAAATATAACTTTAATAGCAACACTTTTTTATTTTAATATTCAAAATGAATAAAAATTAAAAATTATAATAGATAATCTTAAAATAAAATTAATATACAGTCGACCCCCCTATAACATGGGTTCATATAACACTGATTTGTATAACACGGCAAAAAAATTGCAATTGTGTTCGTATAACACGCTAAAAGAGACTTGTATAACACGGTAAAACGTCATCGCCGACTCGTGTCGCAACAGGATTGGTCGAATCTAGACCAATAGCGAACATTGCACAAACCGTTGAGTTTAAACGAGCAGCGGACTTACTAAAAACCATTTATTATTTAACAGCCATAAAAATTATATTTATATTAATGATGTCTCCAAAGTTCAGCAAATTTTTTGCAGAAAAATAACTTATCAGGAAACACGTGCCTGCCTTTCGATCAGCCGCTCTGCGACGAAAACAAGCTTAAGCAATAGCATCTTCGAACGGTGCGCACTCGATAAGTAATCCTACAATTTTTTGTTTATAGCATAGTTTATATGCTATAAACAAATTCTTTGGGAATAATACTATGATACTATGCTATAAATAATACTATGCTATAGCATAGTATTATTTATATAGCATGGGAATAATACTATGCTATAGCATAGTATATATACTATACTATGTTATTTGTTTATATAGTATAGTATATGTTATAGCATATACTATACTATATAGCATAGTATATGCTATAGCATAATATAGAATAATACTATGCTATAGCATAGTATTTCATATAATTCTTTTGGGAATAATACTATGCTATAGCATAGTATTATTTATAGCATAGTATCATAGTATTATTCCCAAAGAATTTGTTTACTATGCTATAGCATAGTATTATTCCCAAAGAATTATATGTAATTTGGAATTATTAAGTCAAATTAGTCTAGAATCAATTAATTTTATGGAAGAAAACCTTTCAAACAGCCGTAGCCGTTAAACTGCACACGTGCCGGGCTGTGATTGGCTCATGTATTTAAGTGACTCGTACAACACGGAATTCATATAACACGGAACGTATCTACCGTGTTATAGGAGGGTTTACTGTATATATATATCTTAATTTCAAAATTATTTTTAAAGCTATCTGTAGGCAAGATCTAATATATAAAAGATGTTATAGCTTTACATTAGATAACTTACATCATTTTGTAATTCATCATCAGATCTTGATGAATTCAAGAGAGTCATTAGTGTCTGAACAATATCCTTAACTGATCCTAATGGATTATTTTGAGAATTGCCATACGCTTGGCCAACTGTCCTTTCTAACCAAGAAAAATCACATCGCTTATTATCATTTAATTTTGAATAATCTGCAGCTTCTGTAGTTTCATCTTTCTTGCGTTTTTCACATTCTTTTAAATATTCTAATGAAAAATTAAGGTCAGATTGTTTCTTAAAATTCTCGTTTTCATCAATCTTCAAGATGATATCATTATCACATAAAGGCTGTAATCCAACAAATGCAATTTTATGTCCAAACTCTTTATCCATAAGTTTATTGATATCATTCACATCTTTATGAAAAAGCTTTTGTTGTGTTTCATCACTCAACCAAGAAAACATTTTACTAACAAGTCTGGAAACTTTACTTGCAACAGAAGATGGAAAAGAACCAAATATCTTTTTAAGTTGAAAAGCTTGCCTTTCACTTAACACTTCACAATTGTGAAACATTTCAAACAAATAAGCTGCTGTTCCTTCAATCATTTCTTGACTTGATTCAGCTCCAGCTGCAATAAAATATTTAAAACGGTCAAACTGACATTATTTTACATAATGTTTTGCTACATAACCCAAAATACTCTTTGAAACATAAATACCTTAAAATCCCACAGATACTTTTTTTTAGTGAACAAACAGTAAATAACATCACACCTTTTGTACACTTTCCAGCACAAATTTTAATAAAATAAATGTTTTTGGCCTCTTTTAGGGGCCTGCCTCAGATACAAAAGGTGTGCTGTTATTTACTGTACTGTTCCAGCTTTGGAAAGTATAATAGCAAACAAACATTTTCAACTGTCTTAAATGTCATTTTTAGGCTATTATCAATTCTTATCAGGTCATTGTTCAAACTGTAATTTTAAACCTGACTATAACTGTTCATCAAAAAGTATCTGCTAGATTTTAAGGAGTTTTTAAGTTGTATCTACCAAATTAAAATGATTAGAAGTCTAAATAATTTGTCAGATTTCGTAAAACATAAGCTTAGTCATGATTTTTGTTGTCAGTTACAAATTATATTCTCAACAAAAAGCTTTAGAATTAAAAACGAAATTAGTTTTTTAATTCTAAAATGTTTATAGAGAATATTATGTTATATTTAATATAACATTAATACAGAATTTTTAATATATTTATTACATTAAAAATTCCAAATAAAATACAGGTATACCTCGCCTTACGTCGGTAATTGGTTCCAGGAGAACGACGTAAGTCAAATTTGCTTGTCTCCGAATCTACTTATCACTAGGCTAAACCGTAAATTACCATTCCCAGTTCTGTATTTTATTTATTAATGCATTTTTAATAATATATGGTTAATAAAAATCTATTTTAAGCTTACAAACAAATAAATTTTAGTTTTTAATATAGTACAGAAAAAAATTAATCTAAATGTACGAATGCATGTACTGTAAATACAGTTCATACTTGTATATATTTTAATATGATTTATGTGCTTTAAATGTTTTTCTAGTGATATTACGACTTCAATATTTGTAGCGGACAGACATAAAGTCGAATAAAATGACTTAAACTTGAATTTTATTTTTCCATATACTTTTTCGACAAACGACATATAATCGGGAACGACGTAACTTGAAACGACGTAAGTCGAGGTATGCCTGTATTTAATCAATTGTTTCCTTCATTCTATTAATCAAGATAGTTTACAGAACAGTCTAATATATATAAATGGAATAGCAAACAATCTTTTGAGGAAAAAATTAAAGACTTAGGGAAAATACAACAAGATATGTTAGATAAACTATGAAACAATTAAAAGAAAAAGAGATAGCAACATAAACTTCAATACATAAAATAATTATGAATAGGCACCATTATAACATGGATGCACAACCTTTTCTGAAGAAGGGCCAAATTAGGATTAAGTTTACTGACTGGGGGCCGGACCTCCAAGTGATTAATGCGATGGCTGAGATTGGATGCTGGCGGCAATCTTCTTGTGTCTAGCGTAATGGCAGATGTTGAAACAACCAGCAGATTTTCCAAATTCTCGTTGGTTAACCTGTTCCGTGTTTTGCACTTGTTTAAATTCATAAGCGAAAACTTGCAAGCTTGTTTGGCAGTACCTATGTATGCTTGTTCGCATACATAGGTACTGCCAAACATGCTTGCACAAAATCGAGCATTGTCTTTCAGTTTTGGAAATGATGTATCTGGCAGTTCTTTGTAGAATGTGAGGAGATTAGAATTTTTGAACTGTGATTTCAATTCATCACTGCACTGGATGTCTATCAACTCAAGTTGGACATCTGGAGGGGCATCTTCCACTTTCACATCAAATGGAGTTGAAAAAAGTTGCAGGTAGATCTTGTATTTCTGGAATTCACCAAACCTCTCATTGAATGATGTAAGGAGGGTGTTAACTTGGTCAGAGTAATCCATCTTCATATGTGGGTATTTCTCTTTCATGGCCTTGCAATGTGGAAAGTGTGTAAAGTTCTCTGATTGCATGTGGGACTTGAAAAGTGATAGTTTGGTCATAAATGCATTGATGTTACTTGTCAACTGAGAAACAAGTTGCATCTTTCCCTGCAATCTCAAATTAAGGTCGTTTAGATAAGCAGTAATGTCAGCAAGGAAAGCTAAATCACACTGCCATCTTTGTCCCTCCAAATTCCTTGTAGTGTTCCCCCGTTCTTTGAGGAAAGTGATAATAGGCCCCAATAGCTCCACAAATCTCTTGAGGACTGTTGCCTTGCTCAGCCAACGAACTTCAGTATACGTGGGCAGGTCAGCATAATCAGCATCTATTTCTTCAAGAAATGATGTGAAGAGTCGATGGTTGAGTCCATGACGGCAGATTAAGTTCACAGTATCATAGACATCTTTCAGCAGACGTTCAAATCCCAGCTTCTTTGCACAAAGTTGCTGTTGGTGAATTATGCAATGATACTGGACTAACTCCTTTTGCCTGTCCCCAAGGTGGTTTTTCAGCAAGGTGACCATGCCATTCTCACATCCAACCATAGATGGTGCTCCATCGGTGGCAATGCTGGATAGCTTGTCAAAGTCCAGTGCTGATTTGTTGCAAACGCTCAATAAACTAGTAAATAAGTCAGCACCAGTTGTATGTCCAGAAAGTGATGCCATGCCAAGAAATTCTTCATTCACAATAAAATCTAGTGAAACACTTCTAATAAACACAATCACTTGTGCTGTTGATGATATGTCAGTGGATTCTTCCACAGCCAAAGAAAAATAAGCACAGTTTGCAACTAAAATATTAAGTTGGCCAGAAATGTCTGATGCAATTTGCGAGATTCTTTGTTGTATCGTCATGTGGTTAAGACTGATTGTTTGAAAACACTGTCTTCTCAGGACACATCTCACTTGCGATGATAAGACACTTTTTTATCATATCGCCATCTGTGAAAGGTTTCCCATTCTTGGCTATTAAAGCAGATATTTCTAGGCTGGCTTCAACAGCCGCATCCAATTCTCCAGATTGTTTCTTGAACACATTTTGTTGGCTGATTAGTGATCGTCGTAACGATTCGATTTTCCGTTTGCGTTCCGTACCTTGCAGAAGGAAATCCTTGTGTTGGCTTTCATGATGTCGCTTCAGGTTGAATTCTTTTGGCACTGCTATTGTTCCATTGCACAAAAGGCAAATAATGCTGTTGTTCTGTTGCACAAAACAGTACTTGTTAGTCCACACTTCCACTTCTTGAAACTGATGATTCTCGCGATTGACCTTGCGTTTAATGCCCGGCGCCATACTGTTCACTCTGCAAAACAATGTCTCATTGTGCCGAAAATTCTGAGGCCCGCAACAAATCATGTTTGAGATAAGGCAAGCTAGACTACCACGTGCTTTGTTCTGTATCCACTCTGACCAAAGACTAAAGAGGCGGGGACAGAAGACTATTACGCACACGTGACAAATGGCCAGGCAGGTCTTAATTCGTTCGACCCCTGTCCGGGCGTCTCCACCATTTCTCAGAATTTGTGAGTCAGATCGTCAACATGCCAGGTGCAGGACACTAATCCATCATAAATGTGGTTACCATTCTTACCTAAATTATATTTATGGCCCGTCAGTTTTACCCCCGTGTTCAGAAATGAATCAAAAGTGATTAACGCGGTGCAGCGGAAAATCTGAATATTTTAAATATAATTATTAAAATTGCGATATCTCGTTTCAAATTGGCGCTAGAATCAATTTTTTTTTTTTTTCTGTCACAAATATATCACAGTTTACGACTGTTAAATTTCAAATAAAATAAAAATTAAAAATAATAATTTAATTTTAAATTTACGAAAAAAAGAATGTAAAAATAAAAGTAAATAAAAAGTTCCAATTAATTTACTACTTAAATAACCTAAATATATCTGTTTTCTTTCAAACAAAAAAAACCGCAGCTTTCTAGCTACACGGAATCATTTTACAACCCTCTTTGTTGACAAGTTTATGGCTTGACGCGGTTTGTAATAATTATTAAATCCAAAATATTTTAATGCAAATGGCTTCCTTTTAGTCGTAATGACTCTATTCCAACTACAGTATTAATTTTCTTGGTCCAACTTAATAATAATAAATTTGATGTGAAAAATTTTTTTTCTATTCTTTGTCTATGGAGAGATATTGTTGTAAATTATTGGTTTTATAGCTTTTTGTACATTCCTTTTTGAACTCTGGTTAGTTTTTTCTAGTTTGAATGACATTAGGTTGACGAATAAGCGTCTTTTCAGAAAAGATTGATTCAAATTCGACTATACCAATCAGAATCTAGAATGTAAACAAATGCTAAAAAATCGTTATTTTCATGGTTTTTCAGCGCTATTTTCACTTATTTTTGTTATTTGACGCTATTTAGACGAATAGGCAAGTTTTCCGAAGCATAAAATTGAAGATTTCCCGCCAAAATAGAAACTTCCCGATAACATCGGAAATGACGTTCTAACATCATTTTAAAATATTCAATATCTAAAGCAGAAAGTGTTAGCTAAAAATAGACTTATTTATAGAACAATCCCCCATTTCTCACCTCAGGGAAAGTCATAAAACAGTTGGGTGCTAATGACTTTGTAAAAGGGAAAAAGTTCTACACTTAGAAACTTCGAAAGAAGGGATTTGGCCTGTACTGTCCGCGGGCCGCATAAACATTGATAGGGGGCCGTATGTGGCCCGCGGGCCGCAGGTTGTGCACCCCTGATTATAACAACTTACAAGATAATTTTTAAAAAAGTAAATAAAGATTTTAAGAAATATACCTTATAAAACACATTAGTTTTCATTATACCATAAAAGATATTTCCATTTAGACTTTTTCATTTAAACAAGAAAGGACTGACTACTACTTCTGGCTACTACTTATTTGAAAAAAATCTTTTTAACATTTTTAATAAATATATTGATTAAATGCATTATATAGTTACATTATTAAATTAAAAAATAGCAACTACATTAACAAGAAATTACAATTAAGAGTCTAAATTATTACAATTGAAAAATTTCAATAAGATATTAAGATATTTATTCAAGATTATATATTTTAGATCTTACTTATTCTTGATACATAACACTTACCAATTTCTGTTGCTAATTTTAATAATTCTCGAAGAGCTGTTTTAACTTCATCTTTAGATACTAAAGTAACATCTTCAAAAGTAGTTTTAATATTTTTCCATTGTGGATAACTACTCCTAAAATAATTACAATAATTATTTTTTATATTTTAATGTATGCTAATTATTTTCTTTTTTTTAATACTATATTATAAAATAGTGTAATCCTTGTGAATGTGTCTCTTTAATCCGATCAATTCAGTACGGTAGACTATCAATACAGCTTTAAGCTGTATTGATAGTCTACCGAACTTAATTGATCGGATTAAAGAGACACATTCACAACGAAATAGCAGCTACCATAAGTGATATTTAGTAGTGTAATCCTGCTTTATAAGCCTATCTCATTCCTGAAAAACTCTCATAAATAAAGACTTTTTTCATTTCTTATACTCAAATTTGCATCTCATTCTGTCATAACTTAGTCACTCTACTCATTTTCTCACAATGAAGTTAAAGTGTTATAATAAATTATTTATCTATTAATCAATGGACCTAAATGAAAGTGTTAAGTTATTCACCAATATAAAATTGGAGAAGTGAATATGACATTAAGAGAAGCACATATAGATGATATTTTGTAAAACAAAATTCCATGTAAATTTAGTCCTATCCCAAGTATTCCCAGATGATTGCCTAGATCAACAACCTTTACCAAAGGTGGGTAAAAATTGAATTTATAATTTACTAACTCCAAATCATAAGCCCAGCAGTGACCAATTGGATAAAACCACTGAACACTAGTAGTTGGTCATGGGTTCATGCCTCACTGACAGGCTGGCCAATGGAGTTTTCTAGGTTTTCTTCATGTTTTTAACACCTAAACAGGGACCAATTTCACATAAAAGTTATCCTGAGAGGCATCCCCCTTGGCAAATTGTCTACTGTTGCATTGCCATAACCAAATAAATCAAACCAAATCTAATTTCTGGTCAAATATTTAATTTAAGTAATTACAAAAATAACAAAAATGCTTACAAATTTTACATTACTTAACTTTCTAATCTCTATCAGTAAAATATCAATAAACTCTACATATAAAGTGAAAAGAAAATAATGTGATTATAATAGAAACAAATATTTCATTTAATGGAAAAGCTGCTGTTGTTTATTTGATGATAAATTTTCTATCTGAGGTTCATAATGGTGGCCTTTAAAATTTTTCGTAACAGCTTTAGGACCCTTATTTCATGCTATATAAGCAAAATTTTGAAATCTAGCAAATATTTATTATTATAATTCTTAAAAACTCAATACTTTCTAAACATTGAATGTAGATACCTTAAAATTATTGCACAAGTCGTGGATTTGCAATTGTTGACCTAGATACTAACATTTACAATTAACAGATTTCACAATTAAAGATAAACATTTTAAACATATTTTAATGTGTTTAAAATATTTTACTTGTATTTTTACTATGTTTACTAATTTTATTACAAGATATTGAGTACACTATTGAGAAAAATGCATGAAAATCAAGGTATTGACACAAAGAATGGCAATCAGTATTTTTCCATGTTCAGAATGTCAGAAGCTGGAAAAGCATGATTTTGCTGACTTTGAAGAGATTTTGTGGCACTAGAAATGGATTAACGTAAAATTTTCCAACTGCAAAAACACGAATCTGCATATATTAAACCCAAGTAAAACAAGGCTCAATCATACATTATTTATTAGACACTTCTCTATTTAAGGATAAGAAAACAAGATTAAGTTAAGACAATAAGTAAGTAGAAAACAAGTAAAATAGAGTAAAATGAAATTGTTCTTTAATTAATAAACTTGTAATCACTGGTAAAAAAGGAGAGATGTTTAGTTGGAAAAACAAGTTGATAGTTTTCATTAGTGAATGATGACACTTGTTCTGCTAATAAACACACAATGTGAATGGAGCAAGGAAAATGAAGATGAGAACTTACAAGTCATCTGAACAGTGCACATAGGACTAACACTCATAAGTAGACTATTTTAGTTCTGTAAATTTTTTGTTGGTGCCTGTTGTATTAAATATCTCATCTTATAAATTGGAAAGATATAAAATAAAACAGTTCATTATACTTCTGTAATTTTTGTACAGTGGAACCTCGGTATATGTCTGCTTTAGAATATGTCCAATTCGGAATACGTCCTGTTTGGACGAAACAAATTTTGCTCAGTATACGACTTTTGTTCGGTATACGACTTAATTCAATTATACGCGCCATCTATGAACAAGTAGCACTATCGGTGTACTACACTAGACTAGACGTTCGCAGTGCTACGGTTTATAACTTTGTTAAATTTCTTCTGATTTTAATTTGTAAGTAACATTTTATTATTTTTATTAATCATGAATTGCAAAAGGGCAACAGAAAAAAAAATGACTAGAATCACAACGGAACTGAAAAAGGAGATTGTTGAGAAATATGAAGATGGCACGCATGTTCGAGATTTAACTGTTGCATTCTGTACTCCGAGAATGACGATATTGACAATCGTGAAAAATAAAGACATTATTAAATAAGCTAACATTACGAAAGGGGTTAAATCAATATCTAAACAGAGATCGAAGACATTAGATCATGTCAAGAAATTGCTTTTGCTTTGGATAACTGAAAAACAGTGTGCCAGCGACAGCGTATCAGAAGAAATTATTTGCGAGAAAGTTAAAAGGATACATGATGATCTCATGAAAAATCAAGCAGAAACTAGCGAGGAAAGAGGTGTTTAAAGCCAGCCATTTTTTTTACATGAGAACGTATTAATCATTTTTACATTACTTCTTATGGGAAAGGTTGGTTTGATATACATCCTATTCGGTATAAGTCCAAACACCAGGAACAGATTAAGGTCGTATACCGAAGTTCCACTGTATATTGATTAATTGTAAATACAAATCATACTGTATTATTCTATTATATTTTTTATACATCATAATAAAAAATATGAAAATATAATCAAATGCATCAAACACATCATTTTATTGTAGAAGTCAGGTAAAAGTCACTATTAACAAATAAAATTAAATATAAAAGTATATAATAAGACTTCTTAAGTTTTAACATAAGTATTAAAATAATATTAATCTTAATGGAAACTGAAATTAAGATTATACTTAGACTAAATTGCCCAATTTTTGGAATTAATGATTATAAATTAATAGGTAAAACTTAAAATCTTAACAAAATAATTATGATTTTTGCATAGATTAATAGAAAAAGCACTTCTTAAACTATAAATAAATCTTATATCCAAAATATATAATATATTTGCACAAAACTAATTGTTTTTAATTAAACAAAAATATATTACTTAGCACTTCTTTCAGCTTTCATTTTTCGTTTTCTCATGAGAAGAATAAGATCTTCTGTTTCATGCAAATTGTGTGCAGCAGCAACATCAGAAAAAGCTCTTATGGTGTTTGTAAATCTTGGTAATTGTTCTTTTGCCTTCATTCTATTTATAAATAATAACTTACAATTAAATTACATTAAAATAGATTACTATAAATTTTACAAGTAAAATAATTTAAAATTCTTTATTAATATAATAAATTATTACTTATCAATTTCAATGATATTGAGATCTACATTAACAGGCATTTTAATGGTTTCAATTTAAATTTATGACATTCTGTTAATGAGTCTTTGAATGTAAGAATGATATGCAACAGAAAAGCATGGTTAATTTGTTTATTTTGCTTCTCTCTCTTTGCTTATGAACTTAAAATTATAATAATGCTTTTGAATATTTGCAATATTCATAAAAGCAAATGACAGTTTTATACACAAAAAACCAATTATATGCTTAAAATATATATTTATTATTTATAAAAGATTATTTTTATAAATTTTTTTACTATTTCATTACAGAAATAATATATCTGTCCATATTAAATTTAAATGAATTATATGTAACTTGTATTGTATCTGTTATTATCTATTATATATATATAGTTCAATTAATTTCAGTCTACATTTGATTGCTGGCTTTACATGTAACACCAGCTATTGGAAAAAAATTTAACAAAATAATTAACTAAATATAATTCGTAGAAAAAATAATATAGTTATAAAAAATATATATTATAATATTCCATGAATTACTGCAACAATGATATAGCACAAAATAAATGTGTCATTACTGTGACAGGTAGCACAGAGCATTTGCCTGCATGGAGTGTAGTAGTGTTTTGCACCTGTACATCATACTTTTCCTGTTAGTAATAGCCTGTTATGTATCTAACTCCGTTCAGGAAAAATTTTTAAATTGAAATAACATGACTTACAGTACAAATTGGAAGTTCATATATAGTTAATCTTGTCCTCTTTCTCCTACGATTTCCATGTCTGGTCTAGACTTTCTTGTATCTAACTCTGTTCTCAAGATTAAGGATAGACAGAGACAAATGGACAACAGCAGGAATTTATAGGTCTACAATTTTTTCAAATTGCAACCCAACAAGTACCCTCAACTAACTCAGTAAATAAAACCACTGAACACCAATAGTTGGTTATGGGTTCGCACATGGTCAACGGACTGGCCATATGGAGTTTTCTGGGTTTTTTTGCATTAATAACACCTAAACAGGATTCACCTTTACATAAGTCTTTCTGGAATGCATCCTTCTTGACAGATTGCTCACGTGGCATATTGCTGTAACCAAATGCCAAACCAATTTTAATAGTTTTTCTATAAATGCGATATTTACAAGGATATGCTTAACTGCCAGAAAATCTGGATATCCTGCCTCTCCCGATTTCATCTCTACTACTTTTGATCGAATTTACTTCAACCCCCTTCTGCAACAGTCCCTTCTTCCTATCAGACCTACCAGTATGATGACATTCGAATAGGAAAATTACATAATATGAGGTTATCAGCCTGCACAGAATATGATTTAAGTGGTTTTCAAGGGTGCTGAGTTTAAATATTTGGTCTATTTTTTGCAAAATTTGATTCATTGGCAGATCACCATTTGATATTCAGCTATGAATGAAATAGTTTGTTAGTGCTAACATTAAGATATCTAAAAACATTAGAAAAAAATATATCAATTTCATTGGTCAAATAGAAACCAATCGAAAATACGATATCTTATAGTTTTTAAGATATCATGTTTTCAATTGGTTTCTACTTAACCAATGAAATTTTACCATTTTGTACCATCCGAGTATTGCAATAAACATGACTGAAATAATCAAACTCTTTATATGGTTTTCGTTTTAATATTTGTTATATAATAGTATTTGATTTATATAAGTACAAAGGTTATCTTACATAAGGGTTTATTACACCGAGTGACCAATCTAACACATTTTAAAAATTTGCTTTCTCTAGTGTACACAATTTAAAGAATTTTAAAAATGTTAGATTGTTCACTTGGTGTGTGTAAAGTATTGGCCTTTTAGCAGAGAGGGAACAAAAGAAGTGTGACCTTGTCAATTAGACCCATGTGCGGTTGGGTAATATACCACTTGTAAGATTGTAAGATTGTAAAGAGGGAAAACAAAGGAAGCGCCGACTTTGTCAATTGGACCCACGTGTGGTCAGACAATAGACCATTTGCCACATGATAAACTATTAAAAAAATGTAAACAAGTGACGGACGTTACTGTAAGCTTGACTCTCGTCGTATGATGGCGGGCCTGAGTATAAGCTGTTTGGGCAAGAAAGGGTTGTGATTGGTCAGAAGTCCCCTGTCCAAAAACTCTTAAATTGCAGGGCAAATGGGAGAGGGAAGAGAGAAGGGCAAGAGACTGGTACACAGTAGTCTCAGGCACTTGGGAAGCCTGCTGAGTGTAGAGAGTGTGTTCTCCTCTGGTAAACATCTCAGGGACAGGTTAGTGCGGAGACTGGACTGACCGTGCAGTTGAGCCAACTCCACAAGCTGACTGAGGCTTCTCCAAAGTTTAATAGTACCCGGATGCCAATCTAGTATATGAGGCACCACGCTTTGTTATCCTGCATATACTGTTTTCGAACTTGTGCACTCTACATGTAGAATCTGTAAATAAACTGTAAATATTGTATAACTTGAGTGTGGAAATGTGCTTTCCATTGAACCTGGATCACTATATCAAATTGTGATACACATGGAAACCAACTCAACGAGACAGAGTTTGGGAAGGAACTTCACTAGATCTTCACTGTGTGATAAACCCTTATGTAAGATAACATTTGTAGTTATATAAATCAGATACTATGATATAATATAATAGAAGGGTTAGAAGTATGAAATAATCTAATAATCTTAATGTTTGTACTTATTTTTTGCCTGAGCAATGACAAGTTCTTATATATTGTAAAAAATACCACAATAAAAATTTAATGGATATGTTATCACTAATTAAACATGATTACTAATTAAACATGATTAGAATCATATTAATTACATGCATGATGGAGAACAATCTAGTTAATGGTCTGGCCTTTTGTCCCAGTCAGGTCAGTCAGAGCTTCCTTGTTAATATGTTACTGTAACATGGGAAAAAGGATAAAATGCATTTATCCCATCCCCTTACCCAAGTTACTATATTATGATACATTCCCATCAAACACTACTCATTTGTCAGATTGACCTAAACAGGACAACATGACAGATCATGACAGTAAAGACCAGGGGTGGCAAATTTGTGGCATATAACTTATGATCTGGTATGTATATGATTCCGATTTATCATCTGTCTTTTTCAATCATCCTTTCAGTTTATCACCTAATTATCCTTTTTTCAATCAGCTTTTTTACATTTATTCTAAGTATAGGATATTTGTTTAATTTATTTAAATATCATTCAAAGTCTAAAACTTTGGCACACATAAACATCTTTAAAGCTAAGTATGCTTACTATACAGCATGTGGACTCAAAAAAGTTCAACACCTCTGTGTAGACACTTCTGCCATTTGCATCCCAAATATCTGGTGCCAGACACCAGATAACCAACATAAGATAGGAAAAAATGTCAGTGTTGTCCAGCAGACACTAGTTATCTAGTACCAGACATGCTGATGTGAACAGAATTCATTGTAATCTTTCATAAGATCTATCCAGTACTTATGTGGCAACAGTAAGAATATGCATGCTCCTCTCCATAGTGGGCATAACAAGCACAACTGAACTCAATGTTTAAACCAGCTGCTATTTGGAGATGCATGAGAGTAAAAAAGTTCAAATAGATAAATGGCATCAGATATTCAGTACCAGATAGGTGTGAAACTAGCCTCAGTTAGCTTGTGTGATATCTCTCAGATTCCATTGTTTACTCTGAAATTGTGAAATTATGGGCATTACATCACAAACTAAGATTATAGCTTTTATTTCTGCAATTTGTCTCATTTCTAATAATGTAAAACATTTGTGGATTGACGAAAATGATTTTGCAATTATTTCTTTGTAATTTGATCCAAAAAAGCTAAAAAATAAACACAAAATTTCACTTCACTGTAAATTATCTCAGGTTTGTTTGTACTTGTAGAGGGATATGTTGTTTTTCAAGTCAGGGTAGGAAAATTTCATTTCTTTAAAAGGAGATTAGAACCAACTCACTCCAAATGTTAACAAACAGAAAGTTTTACTGTGGTCTAAACAAAAACATCCATCCCACTTGTAAATGCTTCAAATGACAATGTTTTTGTTTCATTTTATTTGGAAGAATCTTTTCTTTGACATATAACAACCATTTTTGTCAAAATTAATTATTTTAATTTAATTTTAATTTTTTATGCAAAGTGCTCATGCAGTTTTCAAAAATCTATTATCTTAATTCAAAAAGTAATATCACAAAAAGTATCAAATCTTTTTGCAAAGTGTTTAACCAATAATGCTTCCTATATAAGAAATGAAGCAAGGAAGAAATAATGCATGGATCATTAAAAACTTGGCAAGCAATCATATCATGTCAATTGCTAAATTATTAGTTTTATAACTTAAAAAGTTATGATAATTTTATTAAATAAATGCATTTGTCACAATGTATTTCTAAACAGTGTGAGCAAATTAACAAAGATTTTATAATTTTAATAGTGTATTGTACTGTACAAACAAATTTTTTAATTTTTGCTGTGTTACATTGTCACACACAATACTGTACTCCTGTTTAAATTAATTAATTAATTAATGAAACTCTATTGACAATACTATTTAAATCATTAAATATTTATATAGACAGACAAATTATTCTTAAATTATAAATGTGTAACATTATACAATATTAGACAAAAGTTTCTTTAAATTACACAAGTGACATCAGACATAATTCTTTGCATTACAGTTAAAGATAGAAAACTTTTTTGTGGTAAGAATCATTTATAGGATTCTCACCACAAAAATCATAAAAATTCATGATCATGGATAGATAGATAGTGACTGACAGTCAGCGGCGGCCTTATCCATTGTGAGGCTCTGGGCGGCAGATCTTTGCGAGGCCCTTGTCCTTTGTTCAAAGTATGTGAATTG